ACGTATGTACGTAAGTACGTGTATGAGTGTGTCAAATAAAAGGTGATCTAATTCCTAAAATATCAAAATAATTGATGTGATGAAACGGAGGTTGAGAAATTTGTGTGTTCGAAAGTTAATGGTGTGATGAAAAAAAGAGTGTCAATTGTTTGTATCGATGGTTGATGGTTTAATTAAATATTAAATGTTCCCATGGATAAGTAGGATAAACAGTTCTTGCGTAATTGCCTTAACCAAATTCAATTATTGGGGTATAATATTCGGACTTTGATATCTAATACTTAAAAGAAATTAAATCAGTATTCAATGTTAAAAAAATTAAAAATTTAGCAATCTTAATGAAAATAATTTTAAATGTAAAACTCACCCTTCGTCCACCACGATTTCCTCCGCGACTTCGAGATGCACCTCTTCGTTTACTACCTCGTTTTCTAACCGTTACCCAATCTCCGTTCGCAACAGTTGTAACCACTGTATTTATACCTCCATTAATCATACTATCAGGTATACCATTTGATTCATTAGTCATTTCATTAAAGAGGTCACTACTTGGTCGCGAATTACAAGGGGATTCTGGTGGTGTCGATATGTTGGCGAGAGAAGTGGATGACTCATAGATAACTTCTAGTGATTTGGGAGTAGCCATTAAAGTCTCAACTTGTGCTTGCAGGCACGCTATTTCTTCTTTCATCAATTCATATTCTGCGGCTTTTTTTTTTGAAAAAATATATATATTTTAAAATTTATACTATATTTTACAAACATTAACATAGTTATATAGATTTATAAATTTAACTAACCTTGCGTTTTATTTTGCTCAAGTTGTTTCCGTAATTTAGCATTATCGGTTTCAAGTTGATATATTTTAGCTTTTTCTTGGACTATAAAAAAAAGTTATTTAATTTAGTTAGTTAGTTAGTTAGTTAGTAAACACAAAATACATAATTATAATTATTATAATTATATATATTTATATTTACCTTGTGAATTTGTTAAATTCTGAATTTGATTTGTTAATTGTTTTATTGTTTTAGCATTAGCTTTTTTCTCTTTTTCATGAGTAGCTTTAATTTTATTTAATTGTTCTTGTGTATCTTCAAGTTCTGATACTGCTCTTTCTTTTTCATTTCGAATATCTTCTTGATAAACTGATATTATTAGAGAAGTAAGTCCATCTCTATATGCCATCATATCTATATATTCATCAACTTCTTCTTTAGTTGCTTCTAATTCTGCTGTCGTTCTTTTTAATTTATTATTCGTGGTGGCAAGATCTGCTTTTGCTGTATCTAATAATGATTTAATTGATGATAAATCTGCTTTTGCCCATTCAAGTTTTGATTTGGTAAAAGAAAGTTGTGCTTTAGTTGAATCAAGTTGTGATTTAAAAAATGAAAGCTGCGCTTTTGTTGCCTCTAATTCATCTGCATGTTCTTCTTTTGTTGCATGAAGTTCTGCTGCGTATTTTGCCCTTATTACTCCTATTTCTGCTGTACATTTTGCTTTTGTTGCTTCAATTTCTGCTGAACACATTGCTTGTGTTGCATCAATTTCTGCTGAACATTTTGTTTGAGTTGCTTCAAGTTCTTCTTTTGTAGAGTTAAGATCAATTTTTGCTGCTTCAAGCTCTTGTTTAAGTGAAAGTATTTGTATTTCATGATTTTTTACAAGTTTTTCTCTTTCTTTTAATTGTTTTTGTATATCATGAAGTGCTGTATCTCTTTCACTTATTGTAACTGATAAATCAGTTTTAGCTGCTTGTAAATCATGAGCACATTCAAGTAAAGAAAAATTTAATTCTCTTATTTCACCTTCACGAACTTTTAATTCAGATTTTGTTTTATCTAATTCAACTTGTAAAAGTTCTTTTTCTTTTCTCATTTTATTAACAATTTCTGTTAATTGTTCAATAATTTCGTCACGTTCCGGGAGCAAGGCCTTAAGGTCCCGGACCTCATGACTACGCTCCTTAATTTGAGCTTGAGCTTCTTCTAACTCTACTTGAGCACGATCCCTTTCAGATTCTATGCCTTTAATTCTTTTATTTAAGGCTTCCAGCGTAGCCTCTCGTTGTCTTATTTCTTCCTTTAGACCATTTATGGTAAAGGCTTCAACAGCAGAGGCACGAACCTCTCGAGATGTAGATTGATCTCTTTGACTTCGATTCTTTTTTTTCGTAAGATAAGTCTTTAAAGTTGAAGAAAAATCTTTTTCTCTCTCTGGTTTAGGAGGAATATTTGATATACCTTCATCTTGGGTACGAAAGAAACCGAAGCTGTGCCTACTTTGTCGGCCTCCAGGGTTCCGGCTCTTTAGTTGCAAGAACTTCAACGTTTTCATACTTTCATGGGGAAATATGGCGTTATTTTAGAACAAATTTTTTATCTTTTTATTCATTTTTTTTAACACTGTTATCGTGAATCATGTCGTGCAATATTACATGCATTATTGTTAGTTTGTTTTGATTCCCAAAAGGTACAAAATTTATCATACTACATAGTAAAGTAAGTACCACATTTTTCATATACATTGCACTACAAATGATTAAATTTATTAAAATTAATGTAATTAAGTTTTTTTTTATACTTGTATGCATTTCCGATATAGTTTTAAACGACCCGATGGTCAAGTGAAACCATAAATAATTATTTTTATGGGTTATTGTATAATTTAAATAAATTAAGTATGATCCCATAAAAAAATTTCATAAATAATAATAAGAATTTTTTTTTTAAAATTATGTTGTGTATATATTAAATAAGTTTGACCTAAGCGGACTATAATGCATAAAGGTAACAAACTTTTGAGTATTATTATAAGTGGTGTTTTTTTAGTTTACGCAACTTGAAAGTTTTGATATTACTTGCCATTTCTGTATAACCTTTATAATGTTATCCAACCATAAATTATAATTAATGCAGCTCATTTTTTCTAAATTTACATATTTATAAAATCCATGATACACAACTTTTTTTTTTTTTTTTTTTTGATCAACGATGGATTTAGTTTCGGAATTTTTTTTAATTGTTCTTGTATTCCTACTCTGGTAAAAAAAAATGAAAAAAAATAGGTAAGTTATACCTATTTTCTAAAATGGCTCATCTTGTTGAAGTGAGTTACGACATTCTTTTTTTCTATTTTAACATTCTAGTTTAATATTGTTAACGATGTTTTTTTTTTTTTTTTTTGACCAACCCCCCTAATGCGAATAATTTTTTTGCCGTGCCGCTTATCTCGGTTTGTGTTGGTTTGTTGTTTATTATGTAATATAAAGTATCAAGTTCGAACAATAGTTAAATCTTTTGTAAAAAAAAATCAATGTACCTGCATCCAATTCTAAGTACCTGCATATATTTTTTTTCTAGTAAGATAATTACCATTATTCAAGTACATTATTAGTATAGTTAATAAAGGTAAAAGTTCGAGTTTGACTAGCATTTATGCTATAAACTTTATTTTGAGATTAACTAAAACTATTTCTTGAAATCTCTTAGTGACTTTAAATAATCAAGGAATTCTGATTTAAAAAAAACCAATTCGTATTACATACAGTATCGTAACAAATAATGTCATTTTCTAATCAAAGGATGGGGAGAGCGATCTGGAGGAGTCATATGGTTATTATGATATCATACATCAAGGTAAATTACGGATCCTAGCATATAAGAACCAACCCTGAATAAATACCTAGCATATATTGCAGTATTAGGAAAGATTGCAAGTTGCATATCTAATTAATATAAAAATTTCTTAATTCATAAACTGTCAAAACCGTTTTAACTGGTGCTTTGTATCTGCGTCATTATACTTCATTTTATACATTTTATATAATCGACCATCATTTTACCCATCACTTCTTGTTTAATATTTTACGTCAAAATTTTTTACGCATTGACAAACATTATATACAGTATACCAACGTTTTCAATAAAAATTAAAAATGTTTGATATAAATAAAATTATCAATAATTGGAAAATGAAACATGAATTTCTAATTTGATTTCATAATGCATGTACTGTACGTATGTACGTAAGTACGTGTATGAGTGTGTCAAATAAAAGGTGATCTAATTCCTAAAATATCAAAATAATTGATGATCCTGTTCCAATAATATTTCAATATTACAGTATTAAGTAACTTGTTGATCTTATAACAATAATTGATCTTACTGTATTATATAGGGTTTCGCCGAAAGATCATCCATGCTCTGTATATCGAGTATATCGCGAAGTTAGTTTAAACGATGTAGATTTTCACCAGATATATTATTTAAGCTTAACGCTTATGTACATAGCACGTATGTGCGTACGGACGGACGTACGGACGTACTTAATACTATTTTCAATCAATTACTATTATTAACGTTAATTATATACGTACCGGTACTTTATTTATTAAATTATATATTAAGAATAAATTCACGTGACTTTGGAATTTGAAATCTTTTTATCGTTATCGTTGTCATTTATCAACTGAATTTATTTTTATTTTTTTTCAGCTTTTTACTCAACTTTATCAAATTTCGTTGTAAAAATATGTGTTTATGGGAACCTTACATTTTTTGCATGCATTTAACCATAACAAAATTTATTTCTTATGTGTCGGTTGAATGTAACTAACTATGCATAATTTGAAATGTTACCCGTATTAGTAAGATTATTAGATTGTTGTAATTGAAATTATATACTATTATAATGTTTTTTACAGTACAGCAGTAGAGTTGACTCTTTCTTTAAGTGCATTTTCTCTAAATGTAATTAATATAAAAACTATATATATATATATATATATATAAGCTTATATGATAACTAAATTTCTTATCGATAAAACATTTAATAAAGTAAATGAAAAATGGCAATGATTTTCTGATAAAGTAATAAAGTTGATTAACCCAAAATATTTTGATATATTTTGATACAAACAGATTAGATTTTGTGGTGAGCTTGGCAATAGCATGATAATTAAAGATTCTAAAAATATAATAGTACAAAGGTATTCGTGTGTTATCATGCTTCATGTGAGCTACGCTTGTTATAGGTTCGGATAACATTGTTATGCGATGAAAATTTTTGTACGTACGTGCGTAAATTATATACTGAACGCAACGTTGTTGGTCGGAAGACTGGAGAATATTAACCTTTCAATAAATTACAATTTAAGTGCCTCCAATATTTAATCTTCATTGGAAAGTGTGGTAAATAATTTGTAAAAAAAAAACGGTAAATATTATAGTAATTTTATTTTTAATTATTTAATACTTGATACTCTAAGTAAAAATACTTAGCATTCAAAACCTCATTTCAACACCAATTCTAATTTCTAAATTTAAATTTACTAGCCAAATTTTTATAATACAAATAATAGAATAAAAAATTATAATGTAATTCATTTCCCAATTAACTAATATTATAATTCTAAATATAAGGTTATTAAAAATAATCGAAAAATCTTGGCGAAAAGTTAAATTTGTAAAGAGATTTTTAATACGTATTGTATGTTAAAATCATCAATATATAGAAATTTGTGCTTACCCATCAAGCATAGGATCTGCTGGCACGTTCTCTTTAATACAACCAATTGCAGATCTTCTCTTTTAATACTTGATTTAATAAAGTCTATACTTTCGATCTATCCATTCTGCAGTGTGTATAGTACACATATTTAGGCGTTATATTTTGAAATCTTTCTTCTGGAATATACTCAACCAATAATTTAACTCAATAAATTTCAAACCTATTTGAAAATTTTATTTTCCTGTAAATTATGTATAGTATTCTTTTACCACGCGTGCCTTTTATATTTTTTAACAAATAAATCTTTTGGTAATAGTGAAAAATAAATATCTTTTGCGCATGAACTATAACAATCTTTGGCAGAGTTCTCATGTTCACATCGCGAACGTTCTGTCTTTTGGACATCTAGAGATAATTCGTGTCGGTTTTTGTTAAATAATGCAAGCCTTCCCTTGAATTTCTCTGCAAATTAATTGCTAAATGTAGAATATGATCAGAAGGTTTAATTTCATCATCTATTTTGTCGACATTTTAATACGTACGAATGGAAATTTTATTTCTAAGATTTTCACAATTTAGAAATGATGTAAGATTCATAATTTATCAATATTCAAGAAGAAATATATAACAGAAATTTGTTTGCGATTGTAGCTCTATCTCCTGTCAAAATGCCTCAAATTCGTTATTTTGTGTGTACGATATCTACCCTTTTCTGTATTCTAATTACCATCTTTATTACTTGATGCATTTCCATTATAATCTTTATTGCTGGAGTTATGTATGTTGAATCATGTTGTTATGATGAAAATAATCTATAAAGCTTTCTTACTCTAACGTTATTATTCTTATAATGATCTCTTTTATTAGCTATGTCGGTTATCTAGAAATCAAGGGAATTATATTAGTCCTTACCGCTAAGAATTTTGGATCTGCAAGATCAGCTGATCGATCATGCCAGATACTGTCACATACATAAACCTCCTAAAATTCTTTTTTTCTACAAACCTGCAGCCATGACCCCAATTTTTGATGAGATTCGTGAATATGACACGAAAGAACTTATTGAGTATTTGCAGACTGAGGAATTAATGCTTAATGAGAAACATTTTGAAATTATTAGAAAGGCGGAAATCACTGGTGAAGATTTCTTAATAATTACTGAAGAAGAACTTCGCAATGTTGGTTTTAGCGTTGGACCTGCAGAACGACTTGCCGATTTTGCTAAGGAGTGCATTGTACGGAAAAGGCAGAAATTTTCATCAATTAAATCTTTGAGAGATGTCTTAATAGACTATGACATTGATTCTGATAAGATTTCTAAGATTCCATCATTTAAACCACAAACGCACGAAATTCAAGATAATGATGAGTATTTTCAAGACTGTATCAATAATATTTTAATCAGAATTAAAAACTATGGAACTTTGTGCCCATTTGCTAATGAAAAGATTCGAAGGGAGTATGTATCAACAATCCTTCACACAGCTCTCCGAATCGCCGAAGCTAATACGAATAGCACTTTTAAAATGGCTGTCGAATTTGAAGTCGATGGAAAAAGATATTATGGACCGACTGATTATGCCATAATAGGATCTAAATCCGAAAATCTCATATGCATTACAGAAGACAAGATAGATAAATCATTTCAAGAAGGTTTTGCTCAGAATATCAGACAGCTTGAAAGCTCACATGATGTTAATAAAAAAAAACGAAAACGGAATGATGAAAACGAAGACTTTGATTATCTTTATGGTATCGTTACTTCCGGTACGCAAATTTACTCTATATCCTAAAAAGAAAAGATGAAGTTTATTAAAATCATGTTTTAATTTATTTTTGCCCGAGAATGGTATTTTTTACTTCATAACCCAGGACAGATCTCGCTAAGCAATCTAACCCCTTTTATTATTGAATATCCCCAAAAAGCTTGGAATAAGGAATCGAATGAATATGGAATTTTGTGCAAAAATGTGAAAAAGGTTTTAAGTATAATTGTTGGCTTGTTGGTAGATAAAGTAACTGATACTGAACCTGAAGCCAAAAGAATGAGAGTAGAACAATTTCGATCGAATGGCGATTAGTATAAATAGGGTTTCTCATATCGAAATTGTAGGAAATCACGGGCGATTTTTTGTGATGCTTTGCAAAAAAAATCATATGTATTGAAATAAAGAATTCTAAACATTTTGATTGTGACATTGCCATAGTTTTATCTATGCTAATAACTTTGAATAATTCATGATTGTGTAAAAACATTAACTTCACATTATTTAACCGTGATATTAATGTCACGATCTCGCTTTTTTATACGCAGTATTAGTGTTACATGCCATAAGGTTTTTATTGGTTGACTTAGCCAGCTGATAAAAAGAATTGGCTAAGCGGCTGGCTAATGGCTAAGGTCGGATTTTTTATCTTCAGAAAATATCAGAAATTTGCTCAAAATTTTCTTCAACCTTTACTCGTCTTTTATGTTCGCTCATTTCATCCTTGTGCCCCCTATTATTTAATTTGCCTGGCATTATCTCTCCGTTACTATTTAAAGTCATGTGATCTTAAGCCGTATTAGCCAGCCTATCATATTACATAGGCTTTTAACACTAACCATAATATATACTATATATACTATACAATTAGAGATTGCGTCTTCACCGTCCGGATATTTATTCACAAATTAAATAAGCAGAAATTAAATGAAATTTGAGTATCAGGTGATTTAAATTAATTATTGTATTTCTGTATTTCTGATGATGTATTTTCTCTGAAATAAACGTTCTATGGTGCAAGAGTCGAAATCCCAGTTAAAAATAGTTAAAAGTATTATTGGCTAAAAGTTCTTGGTAAATAGTCTGTCCGGTAATAAGATTGGGACACCTGTAAAAATTTGCCAAATGATTTTTCAGCTGATTCGTTAAGTTATGTTCCGTATAATAAAAGAAGCTATTTTTGTATCATACGTATAATGATCATTTTACGATTGTCATAACAATAATGTCAACGATTTTAAATTTTCGTTCGAATACTTGCCCAAAAATGTTTGGTGTGCTTTAGTTTGTACGAAAATTTATGGAAAAATCTGTTTATGTCAACCAATAAACTCTAACAAGAAGGAATCGAATATAAATTAGACTTTTATAACAAATATATTACTCGAACAGGTGCCGCTATTAAAAAAGTTAAATATGATCGACTGGTTTAAAAATGAATCTCGGATTAGGATTCCACGCGACCAAGATATTATTAATATTTGTCGAGGATGCATGAAGAATTATGATAAACGAAATCCAAGTAAAAAATTTTACGTTTATATTTGTTTATATATTTTTCGTCTTCGACAAGAAACGAAAAATAATTAGAAATGAATAAATGCTTTCGTTTTAACGAAAATGGATCTTGCCAAAGAATAGGAATCGAAATTTTTAAAAACGAATTTTTCGTCTTCGACAAAGAAACGAAAAATAACTAGAATGAATAAATGCTTTCGTTTGAACAAAAATGGATCTTGCCAAAGAATAGGAATTGAAACTTTATACAATTTTCTAAAAGAAATTTTCGTTGAAAAATAATTAGAAATAAATAAAGGCTTCGTTTGAATGAAAATGGATAATAGGAATTGAAATTTTACACAATTTTTTAAAAAATGAACTTTCGTCGAAAAATAATTAGAAATGAATAAAGGCTTTGTTTGAACGAAAACAGATCTTGTCAAAGAATAGGAATTGAAATTTTACGACTTACAAGTGCGACAAGTATGCTTGTCAATTTGTCTTATTGTAATATATATTAGTCACCTGATCTTATTAAATTACGTATTTGATATATCTGTTATTACGGATCGGCCGAAAAATCATTCGGCAAATTTTTACAGGTGTCGCTAAATCCTGAAAAGAAAAATCCCAAATAATTGTGATCCTGAAGAATCCCGTAAATACATAACCCCGAATGTAATAATCCCAAATACCATCAATATTTGATAGTTCATGAAAAATACTATTATTCGGGATTTTCATTCGGAATGATGTATTTACGGGATTGTGGTTCTTCAAGATTGTACTGTAACTGGAATTTTTTTTTTTTTTTTCAGGATTTAATTTACGGATTAATGAATTGCTAGAATATTATTCTTTCAGAATTTTAAGCGCTGAAGTGTCTAATTCAAACGACCATGAAAACGATTTTGAACAAAAATTTGCAGGCAATTTGCCTGCAAATCTGTTAAAGAGGTAATTTCTCCAAAGCAAAAAGAATAATATTAAATAATTTTAGTGTCATTAAGATTTGGCAAGAAACTACCCGATGGCCTTTTACGCGTTTGGTCTAGATACAAAAACTAATTCTGATCAGGAAAATTGTACTAGCAAAAATGTCGGCCTGGTCAACTGGCCCGAGTTTTTTTTTAGAATCAGCCCATTAATTATAACAGATAAGAGGATTATTATATGAAGGGTTGACTGTACGAGATTCTATTCATTTATGAGTTGTCTGACTTAACAAGAGTATAATTCAAGTCACCAGCTTGCGTTCTCTACCATCCTAAAATATCAGAGTAATTTCCTTTTACATCTTAGTATATTTGTTTATTTATTTTTATTTGTCTTGTCCAGATTTTAAAAAGCACTTTTATTGATTTTGCGAGTGCTTCGTTTGTTGCTTTTTAACGTCAGTTCTGTCAAATTTTATGCAGCAGTTTATCTTTCAGATGTCAAATAAACCTATGATTCAAAATAATTTATTTTCATATATCTGCATATGTCTTTAGAAATATAAATTATGGAGTAAATTGTAAATTATAAAAATTATAAAAATTATAAAAACATTTGATTTTTTTTTTTTAAACCTACGTCTATATAAATACTATATAAGCGCATAATAACGCGCATCCGCGAATTATTTCAAGATTCTACGCGTTATATTGGAATGTGCATGCGCGGTAATCCGAATTATAGTATGTACTAATTTTGTGGAAAAAAGTCACTCCGATATATATTGGAGGTAGAATTAGGATCTGTGAATAACCACAGTTAAAAATAAATATTCAATTAAAAGCAAATAATCAGTTATATAAAATTCATGAATAGTCGAGGATTAGATTGTATTAGATTGTGAATTTTCTTAAGTTACACAAAATTTCTAATAGTCATATTTGATATTATTATGCAGCCATGTTATTGACGACTGAACTAAAAATTCTCGGGTTTACTAATTCCCCCCCACCACTTCATTTTCCATTGGACAAAACCAATTACTGTACATCATCGATCAGAGTGGTTACATTGATTAAAAAAATTTTTTTTTTTTTCTATTTTCGCTGTTTAACATTAACATTTTGCTCTTTTGGATTTTAGCACTTTCAAGTTTTTTTTAGTAATAACTTCGTGTGAACGTTTAAATATATTTTGTCCCTCATCGAGAGGTGTTACAGTACAAATGAAAAACAACTATGAAAAGCAACCATGGGTTCCGCCCACGTGCTATACTACTAACAGTCCAGGACTCAAAAGTATCGAAAATAACGAAAGTACTAAAAATCTGATGGTTTTCTAAAGTTATTGCACATCGCAGAGAGTGGGCGAAAAAAAACCAGATAATCTGGAAAAAACCCTAAGTTCCCTACGACTATGTAAAAAACTGGTAATGTGACTGTCGTCCCGACAGGCCACTTCAATATGAACGCTCTTGTACGACGCAGGGGCAGGTGAAAAAAAAACCAGATACTGTAATTCAGGACCCTGAAATATATAGAGAGGGGTAAGGTCTATTGTTCATATAAAATTTTCAAAAAAGTGCACATTTTTGACTATTTTTATGCAGATCTTTACTATTTTTAGTAATTTGTTAAGATTTTTAGCTATTTATAGATATTTCGGGGTTCTTGTAATTCCATCTGGAAAAAACCCTAAGTTCCCTACGATCACTCTAATACTAGAAAACAAAAATATTACATGACTGTCATCCTGACAGGCCACTCCTATGTAGAAATATATAAAAAATTTCTTCAGACCTGTCATCCTGGCAGGCCACTTCAATATACACAAAAAAAACTTTGTGATTGTCGTCCTGACAGGCCACCCAACTAACAACACAATTTCATTATGACTGTCATTTCAACAGGCCAAAACTAAGCAAAACTGCTAAAAAAACAATAGATATTAACCCAATGGGTCCTTAAATAGACCCAAGTTGCTATATGATCACATATGAGAGTCAGTAAGGTAGGTGAAAAAACCAGACAAAGTCAGATTAGCAAAAAAAACAGAAGCTACCTTTTCTCTTCTAGGAAATTAAAGTTGTGACTGTTATCTTGATAGGCCACTTTTGCCACAACAAACTCAAAATTTGACTGTTGTTCTGATAGGCCACTTCTACCATGACAGACTTCAAATGTGACTGTCATCCTGACAGGCCACCTTTATTTTAAAAACTCAAGCGATTATGGATTTTAAAAATAATATGTATATGGAATAAGACTAATATATACAAAAAAAAGTTTTGATTAATGTTTATTCGATGAAATATTAAAAATTTGATTTAAGTGATTATGGATTTTAAAAATAATGTATATATGGAATAAGACTAATATATATAAAAAAAAAGGGTTGATTAATGTTTATTCGATGAAATATTAAAAATTTGATCAACAAATTATTGTATACCTTGAAGAGATCCCAGGCTTCATTTTAAATTGTTCAACAACTGCTATAATGGAATTACAATCCCTAGTGTTTAAATTCATTATGTTGTATTGGATAGAATAATATAAATTTATTCTCTTTATCATATAGGTGAAGAGATAAAAAAAGATCAACTATATTGATATTTATAAATATATCAATTATATACTTAATCAATAAAAAATTATATCTTTCATCTACCTTTTCCAATATAATAGTTTATATTTTTGTCAACTTTAGTCCAATCAACTTTGTAAGTGTTATTATAATCTGCAATTGTTTTCAGACAAGCTAATTTGTTAAATAATAATCAGTTATATTTTGAAGTTTCGTTATACCTTTTAATACAAGATATCTATCCTATAAGGTGTATTTGGTAAAGTTTCAAATATATTGTTATAGAACGAATT